GGGGGGGGTACCAGGAATCAAACTCAGGACCTTGCACTTGCCAGGCAGGCACTTGTGCCGCTGAGCTATCTCCCCAGCTATGCTTGTGATTTAAAAAGTTTGAACAGAACAATAATTCCTCCATTTCCACCTTGCGGAGGCTGTCTCTGAGCCAGGTGGCCACCCCTCTGTGGGAGGACTGAGGGGGCAGCCGAGGCTGATGCTGGAACTCCAGAACTGGGAGTACCAGGCCCAAGTCTCCACCCGCTGACCACTGGCCTTAGTTTTGTGCAGGTTTTTGTGTTTGTTTTTATTTTTTAAGTCTTATTCTTTTCTGTGCTAGGAATTGAACAAACACTAGGCAAGCGCACTACCACTGATCTATATCCCCAGCAACCTCACACGGTCTTTTTGGCCTCTCTGAGCCACTGTAAAGTGAGAAGAATAATAGCCTTTCCACAAGGTTTGCAGCGGCTGGGCCGATTCAAGACTGAAGTGTGCATAGGTACAGTGCTTGCCATGGGGCTGGCATAGGAGACCTGCTCAGTGGAGGGTGGTTGTTGTTACTGGCGATTTGAGACCATCCCACTGCTGCTAGAAAAGCCTTGGGGCACCCAAACGCCATAAATCCCACCCGACTGCATTAATTAATAATGCTCATAGCCACAGTAGCAGGAGCCAGCCAGGCCTCGGCTCGGCACTCTGCCCAGGGTCTGTGCAGCTGTATGGGAGCTCGGGTCTGCGGATCACCCACCTTCACATGCAGGGCCTGCCACTGAGAGGGTCTGCAGAGCTCGGGGTTGCCAAGTCCATGGCAGGCACTGCAGGCTCCCTGGGTACTGCACCAGGCCTTTCCTCCATAACCTTCCCGAGCTCCTGGCAGCTGTAAATCTTCTCCTGGCAAGGACTGCAGAGGCTCAGCCAGGTAGTTTGGGCAGGCTGGCTCTCTCACCCTCCTTCTGGCTCTGTAGGATCGGGGTTCTCTCTGAGACCAGGACAGGACACCAGGACCAGAAAAAGCAGCAGGCTTGTCCTCGCCCCAAGGCCATCTGGTGGGGCCGGGCTCACCACTCATTTCACCTGTTCCCTCCTCGCTGGACCTCGCTTTCCCCATCTGAAAAACAAGGGGCTTCAGTCTAGCTCTTTCTGAAGATTTGGATGAGGGTCATAGTCACCACCTCTAAAACTGTTTACACACACATGACACACAATTTTGCCAGTCACTTCTCCTATCAGATCTGTCATGAATCTCCCAGGTTAAGAACTTTCACATTCAAGAGCTATAGTGTTTTGTTTTTTTTTTTTTTGTTTGTTTGTTTTTGCTTACTTAAGGGTTTTTGGTGCCAGGTATCCAACCACAGGGCCTCCTGCATGCTAGCACTGACTGGGATATATCCCTAGACCCAAAAAGCTACTGTTATTTGCTAAAATAAGTTGTGAAAAGAATAGTTTAAAAACATAAGTATTCAAGAAACTTTAAAAATTTAAAAAGCCAGACATGGCAGTGCACACCTGTAATCCCAGCACAGGGAGGCTGAGGCAGGACACCAGCGAATTCACAGGGCTACGTAGTGGAGTTCAAGGTCAGCCTGAACTGCATACAACAAAACAAAATAAAGCAAACCAAAATGTAAGTATTAACATGCACTCGTAAGTGCAAAGAAAACTCTGAAGGAATCTATATAATAAATGATTCCAGAGTTGCTCTCTAGAGAATGGGATCGGAAAGACTTTCACTGCATACCTCAGACATTTTTTTTTTTTTTTTTTTTTGTTAAAAATAGGTACTCATTACTTTTAGGAATTCTTTTCTCATTTAAGGCACCATCCTATGTTATCAACAACAATCTCAAATTCTCCAGCCCATTTATCCTTTGTTGAGCAAAGGGAGTCAGGCACAGACCCTGAGCGTAATGAGGACTCAAGCCTCTGGGGTCTGACACACAATCCATCAATAGGATTAGAGTCATGACTTGACACTTAGCCCTGTGTCTCTATGGACAAGGTAATTAACCTATCCAGGCCTTGGTTGGCCTCCCCAAAGGGGGTTAGTGGTACTGCTTATATCGCAAAGGGGTTTTTACTTTACTAAGAAGAAAATAATAATTTTTCTTTTTTAAAGAGCAGACTTGGGCTGGGGAATATAGCTCAGTGGCACAAGTGCCTGCCTAGCAAGCACACGGTCCTGAGTTCAATTCCCCGCACCAAAAAAAAAAAAAAAAAAAAAAACCAGACTGGACTTTAATTCCAGCATTTGGGAGGCTGAGGCAGAAGGATCATGGCGAGTTTGAGACCAACCTGGGCTACACAGTGCGTTTAAGGCCAGCCTGAACTGCATAGTGAGACCCTGTCTCAAAAAAAACCTAAAAAAAAGAACAGACTTGAGTGAGGCAGCTCTTGACACTGCCTGGTGACCAGCAGAGTTGGTAGGTCTCGGAGCTGCATTCATTTGCCCTGGCTAACTTCTTCCCAGAGGGTGAGTCTCAAAGTGGACCCCTGGGAAGTCCCCTCCAGGACCGGGATCTCAGAGGACAAATGTAACTCATGGGATCCGGCCTGGACTCTGGCGTCTGGCGCCAGTTCAGCAACGGGATATAAAAAACCCAGACATCACCTCATCGCTGTCTCATCAAAAAAGGAGACTTTCTTCCTGAACATCCCTGCAGAGGACGAATTCCTGCTAGTGTGTTGCCTAGGAGGGAGCTGGAAAAGCAGAGTAAGGAAATTGGGGAGTCCTTCCCCTCTTAGGGGTCAGAGGGCTGCCCCAGGAATTATGGCAGCTCTGGGGCTGGCATATTGGTAACCATGACAACCCCACTCCTAGGCATCCCAGGCATTTGTAAGCACCTGACAAACAAAGCCCCTTCCACTTCTTCCCACAACCTTGTTACCCTGCAAAAAAAGGTACTAGTATCTCCTTCTAACAAGAGGAAGCTGCTCCCTAAGGTGCAGGGGCTTTTTTGAGGTCACTGAGCTATAGCTGGGATTTGACTAAGGGTGAATAACCCCAGAGCCAGCACCCTGAGCTTCCTAGGAGCCAAGAGCCTGTGGTCCAAGCACAGCTCTCCTCAGGCTCCACATGTGACCCTGGGCAGGTGTGAAACCCACTCTGAGTGCCTCCGTGTCCATTCAGGGACACTGGGAGGAAAATCCCACCTCTTTCTCCAGGATAGATCTGCCATGAGTTTACACAGAATCTTTCTTGGAAGATTCTGATCTTTGTCAGAAAATTCAGTCAGAAACCGGGACCTGGCAGCCTCAAAGAGAGAACAAAAAAAAGCCCCTACAGAGTCAATCTCTAAAAGTTATAATACTTAGGTTCCCACAGTCCCAGATACCCATTTCTTTTCTTTTCCTTTCATTTTCTTTTTTTTTCCTTGTTTCTTTTTTGGATTTGTCTTTTTGAGACAGGGTCTCATTATGCAGTTCAGGCTGGCCTTGAGCTCACTTTGTAGCCCAGGCTGGCCTCAAACTTGCAGCAATCCTCCTGCCTCAGCCTCCTGAATGCTGGGGTTACAGGCCTGTGCCACCATGCCCAACTCAGATACCCATTTCTAGGGGACAATATTGCCACCCCAGTTCAAGGTCCACATGGCTTCTCCTCCCCTGACTCCTACCCCGAAGGATGTGGGGTTAACTCACACCTTGTGGAGAGCTGGTCAGGACACTGGCCCTGTAGGATTCTCAGGACTCCTTAGCCTAGCTCCTCAAGGCCACAGTACCACCTGGGAGAGATGGGCCTCAGGAGCATGCATACCTCACCCCATCTTCCTTTCCTTTCCCTGTCTTTAGTTTGACCACCACCACGTTAGTGAACCCAAAGGAGACTTTGATGTTTTCAGAGAAACTAAGAATCCAGATTTTTATGTTAAATTGCTCAGTTGTTTAATATTGACAAATATTCTGGTCATTTGGTCATTTGCTATGTGATCTCAGACATACTGCCCTTCTTCCGCTCTGCTTAGCTTTCTGAGGGTTCACCTCTACAAACTACATTTCCCAGGTTCCTTTGCAGGCAGGCTCTGGTGAGGTCAGGAAAGGGTAGAAAGAGTTCTGGGTGTGCAGAAGCAGAACTTCTTCAAATACCTGTTCTCTCCATACAGTCCATCCTCTGGAGTTCCAGGTCTGTGTCTCTGTCTCTCTCTTTCTCTCTCTTTCTCTCTCTGTTTCTCTGTCTCTGTCTCTCTGTCTCTCTGTCTCTCTCTCTCTCTCTCTCACACACACACACACACACACACACACACAACACACATACAATACATGCAGAGCTCATCTCCTATTTGGTTTTTCCAAATTATTCTCTTTTTTTGTCTTTTTGAGACAGGGTCTCACTATGCAGTTCAGGCTGGCCTACAGCTCATTTTGTAGCCCAAGCTGGTCTTGACATTGTGATGATCCTCCTGCCTCAGCCTCCCAAGTGTTGGGATTATAGGTGTGCACTACCATGCCCTGCGACCTAAATTATTCTTACTGTGGTCCTTAAAGTGGTCTGTTTTTCTGATAAGGCCACTACTTCAGATCTTCTCCTCCTCCTCCTTCTCCTACACCCTCTTTTTGTTTTGCTATGGGTATTGGGGATTGAACCCAGGGCCTTCACACTGAGCTGTGTCCCCAGCCCCTTTTTATTTTTTATTTTGAGACAAGTTCTTGCTAAGTTGCTCAGTTGCCCAGTCTGAGTTGCCCTTTTGCCTCAACCTCCCAGAGTACTGAGATAACAGGAATATATTACTGCATCTAGCTTTCCCCCGACATTTAAAAAAATTGTGTAAACAAAACAGGCTTGATGGTGTCCTACCTACTGAAGACGCTGTGGCAGGATTTACCCATGGGTTTGAGTCCAGCCTCAGCAAGGCAAACAGACCTTATCTAAAAAAAAAAATTGTGTAAAAGGTATACCACCCAACATGTGACATCTTTTAAGTGCACAGTTCTGTAGCATTAATTACACTCACAATGTTGTCAAACTGGCACTATTATCTACTTCCAAACCAAATCCCTCTAATGTCTTCTGGGGGCAGAACCAAGCAGGTCTATAGGCCACATGGTGGACATGCAGCTCAAGACACCTACTTTGGGGGAGCTATATACCCTATTCTCATGTATCCCATTATCACCCTGAATCCCACAAGGTTCATGTGAGAGAGAGGAGCATGCCAACCTCACAGAGAAGGAAACTGAGGCTCAGGCAAGCCCAAGGCTCCTGAGGAAGCAGAGGGGGACCTGGACACCTGATCCCCAGTCCTCTAGTCTGTGCCCACCCTCCGCCCTGTTAGCTCTCTCCCCCACCCTCCAGACCTGTGCACACATCCACTACTGCTCTGCCTCCAGTGCAGGTAGACTGCCCCTTGGAGGGTCACATAGGGAGTGCAGTGGGTAGGGGGTCCTGGGTCTCTGCTGATAGGTCTGAGCGCTAAGGGTAGCAACACTAACAAAACCACCTACTATCAATGCACACTCAGCTCCCTATGCCTTTGGGAAGGGAAGCAAGAGTACTGAGCGCAGGCTGCAATGGTCTGGCATCCCTGCTTTTCATTAGGGAGTCAGATGTAAGCTTACAGCAGTGGGAAAGCCCCAAGCCTCTACAATTAAAACAACTAGATGGGTGCATGCCTGTAATCCCAGCATACTGGAAGGCTGAGGCAGGAGGACTGCAAGTTCAAGCCCAGCCTGGACCACTTAATGAATCAGTGAGACCCTGTCTCAAAACTGTAGAAAAGGGACTGGGATGTAGTTCAGTGAGAAGGTCCTAGGTTCAATCTCCAGTAGTGGGAAAACAAAGAAAAACAAAAACAAACAAACAAAACCCAACTACCATTAGGGAAGGATTCCTACATTCCCAAGCAGGTTTGAACATTGTCTTTTTTTTTTTTTTTTTAAATCTTTTTGAGACAGGGTCTCGCTATGCAGTTCAGGCTGGCCTTGAGCTCACTTTGTAGCCCAGGTTGGTCTCGAACTTGCAATGATACTCCTGCCTCAGCTTCCTGAGTGCTGGGATTACAGGCATGCACCATGAACACTGTCTCTTAATCCTCAGAGAGAACAGAGGCCCTTCATGCAGGCAGAACTACCTGGAGGGGTGGAGCTGGGACTCAGAGGCCACAGAGGAATTCCTGCCTGGCCCTGCCCCGCCCCCACCCACATGTCCTTGTGTTCCTGCCTTTCCCTGAGCCCACTCAGTCTGGCCCCTGTGCCTTTGCACAGGCTGCTTCCCCACACTGGGCTGCCTCTCGGAGAGATGAGGAAGCAGGTGTCAGACAGGCCCAAAGAGAGACCCCGTGCAGCCTGCTGCAGCCCTGCCCCAGAACAGCCTGCCAGGAGTGTGGGCCAGAGTCCAGCCTCTGCCATAACCAGTGGGGCAGAGCCAAGCAGGCAGCCTGACCAGCTGCTAGGGAGGCTCAGTAGCAGTGGGAGGACCTGTGGTAACCATCTTTTCATCACTGTGACAAAGTACCTGACACACAACATAAAAGAGGAATTATTGGCTGGGCGTGGTGGCGCACACCTGTAATCCCAGCACTTGGGAGGCTGAGGCAGGAGGATCATTGAGGTCAGCCTGGGCTACAAAGTGAGCTCAAGGTCAGCCTGATTGCAGAGTGAAACCCTGTCTCAAAAAGGCAAAAGAGAAAAAGGGGGGCGTTATTTGTTTGGGCTCACGGTTTCAGTCCATGGCTACCTGGTTCCATTGGTGTAGGTCTGAGATCAGATAAAACGTCAGGGCAAGAGGGTGTGGTGGGGAAAACCCACTCACCCCCCTCTCATGGCAGCAGGAAAGCAGAGGGTGAGACAAAGAATCCAAGGGGAAGGGGCCAGGGACAAGATATAGTACCCAAGGTCACGGCCCAGGAACCCACTGCCTTCAACAACATTTCTCCTCCTGTTTCTCTTATCTCCCAGTAATGCCATCAAGTTATGCACACAGCAGACAGTCAGTCCAGTAGTGGAGCAAGGGCTTCGTGATCCAGGCACCTTTCAAAAGCTCCACTTCTGAACACAAAAGGCTTTGGGGGATGTTTCAGATCTAAAACCATAAAGTAGGGAACTCAGATTTGGGGAGACAGAGGCCCTAGGTGGCTCCACATCTCTGCCAGGGCTGTTCCAAGCTCTGAGCCACCCCGGCGGTGATGGGGAATCTCACAGGCATTGATGTAAACAGGGCTCTAAATAACACACACGAGGTTTGTCTGAGGATGAGAAAAACCTGTCCAGAAAGGTTTCTGTGACTCAGGTCGTTCCTGGTTGTGTCTGGGAGGGCAGGAGATGGATGAGGAAACATTTCACACTGTCTAGCCTTTGTCTGAAGGCTTCTGGATTTTTAAACCACTTGTAAATTAAAATTTAAACCCTAGGATGGGGGCGCAGAGCTCAGGGGTAGACAGTTTGTTTCATTTCCAGCACCACACATAAAAAATTTAAACCCCGGCTTAGTAAGTCATTGCTGTGTTATCTTGAGCAAGCCACACAATCTCGCTCAGCCTCTATTCCTCAGGGTATGCAACAAGGGCAATCATAGCTCTTACTCCACAGCATAAGAGGAAGCGTACATGAAAGCGAGAATGCGAAGTGCTTAGCATGATGTCTGACACACAACAAAAGCTCCTAAAAATGTCATCAGCGTTGTTATCAGTCAGGCAGTAATAATGTCTCCTCCCATCAGTCTGCTGCCACCTTCCAGGATCTCATCCTCAGGATGGAGGCCACTCCAGCCAACGCCAGCCAGCACTGTCGCCACTGACTTGAGAAACTCATGTCACCTCTCTGTGCTCTGGTTTCCTCCTCTACGAAGCAGAGATATTAGAACTTCCCCCACGGTCCCCAAGGTCACCGACAATCAATCTTTGGGCATTCAAAACTTCCTTGAGACCTACTCGTAAAACAGGTTCTGCCGGGCCTGGGTGCGCCATGATGCAGTGGGTGCGGTGGCGAAGGAGGCAGACATGTTAACAGATGCTTATAAGAAGGATGAGAGGCCAGTGGGGGAAACAGTGCTGAGAAGGCACAGGGAGGGCATCAAGGAAGGCTTCTCGGAGGAGGCAGTGCCACAGCGCAGCCTTGAAGGATGACCAGCAGTGGGTCAGTCAGAGGAGAAGGGAAGTCAGGAAGGGGCAGGGGAAGCAGCAAGAGCAAAGGCCAGAGGTATGAGATTCAACATTTATCCCAGAACAAGCAGCTGGGAGGCTGGCCCTGAGGATAGACTTTGGCCATGGACTTTAGGGGACAGACTCCTGGTCTACCGCTTATCAGCTGTGAGACCTGAGGTAAGTTACTTAATCCCTCTGTGTCAAATGCGGTGAACAGCACTTACTCCACTTGCTCCATAGTGGTGTTGTGACCATAAAAGCAAGTTAAAGCACAGAAGCTATTTAGGATGGTCCTCCGGAGATGCACAGAGGCCGCCAAGGAGAAGATGCCCACTAAATACTTGCTGGGCAGTTGAACAAATGAGCAAACACGCCTCCAAGGCCTTGACAGTCCTATGCCCTCCTTGTAGATCCCTGGTCTTGGGGCCGGTTCTGGCCTCCTCTCTTCCTACCCAACCCTGAGCTAGCGTCAGGTGGATCCCCTGGAGGTACCACCCACATGGCACCCTACTACCACCCTGGCCATTTTACATGGCCAATAGTGCCTCCCCCACCTGCCAACTGTCTGCATGGCATGGACTTGGGAACCAGGCTCCAGAGATGCTGGCCAAGGCCTCGAAGAGGAAGGTGACCCCTGTCATCACCTTCCAGAGCTGAGGCCCACGCAGGGATCCACCTCCACTCACTCAGGTTCAACGCGCCCCAGCTCACAGACGAGGAGACCGAGGCTCAGGAATGGGAGGCACTGGCGTGCGGGAGGCAGGAGTCCTACACAAGGTGAGGGGCTTCCCGAGCTGGGCTTCTCCAGCCTCCCCATCCCTGACCCAGTCCCAGCTATCTCCTGCTTGCCTGGTGCGGTTGCTGAGGCCCCTGTACAGACACACAGAAGGCTTATGAGGGGCGTGAGGTGCAGGGACAGCAGAAGCACAGGCATCAGTGATGACACCCTCAAGATCATTCACACGCCACAAATGATGACACTGAGGCCCAGAGAGGTCTGTGAAGCCACTTCAGGCCACACAGCCCAACAAGACAAGGCTGGGCTGGAAACTGTCCTCACTGCACAGCCTGCCTGCTGTCCCCAGTGCCCGTTGTAAGGCGCAGGCTGGGGCCTGATCCAACCCGCCTGCCTCCAAGCAGGGATCCAGACCAGAACGGTCCAGAAGGAACAGTGTACAGGCAGCAAAGCCGGAGGGAGCCTAGAGGGAGCCATAAATCAGGCACTGCGGCTGCTGGTGGGGAGAGGGGAAGCAGATCCCCATCCTCGGCCCCCACAGCATGGGATGCTGCGGAGGGTGGTGGCCCTGGCTGGGTCCCCGGCCAGCTGCAGCTCTGCAGGGGGAGGGATGCGGAGACGCTGAGTTGGGCTCTGCCAGCTTCAGCCGCAGTGAGAGCTGAAGCCCAGAAAGGGCTCTGGGGTGGCCTGGTGACCGTCCCCTGCAGCTCAGGGAAGGAAAAGGCAGAAGGGAGGCTTCAGTCCCTGCCTAGCCCCTGGGTCATGCCTTGTGCAGTTGGATCTGGAGAAAGGGGACAGAGAAGGGGGTGCAGCCCCACTGGTCTGCTGCTAGTCCTTGGGGCAGGTCCAAGCAGGGCCAGGTGGGAGGGGGCATCCAGGCCCTGCCATAGGGAAGTTGACAGCCCGAGGCAGGAACAGGGAAAGGTAGCACGACATAATTCATTGTATGACAACATCACTAAGATGAGGTGATAAAAGGCCCCTGATGGATGATGATCATATTAATGACAGTAGCTGAGAATAATGGTCCTCATGTATAAAGTGTCAACATTGTTGCAGGCCACTTCGAGCCTCAGCACAACTCTACTGGGAGGCCGTTTGTACCCATTTCACAGATGAGGAGGTCCAGGGGGTGCACAGCTGGGGTAGGGTAAGGGGTCTCAAGCCCTCCTCCAAGGTGCTGGCTGCAGGGAGGTGGGGGATACTGCTGTGTCCATGATCTATACCCTGTGCAGTCCCTTGAATTAAATCTGCAGTCAGGACACAAGTACCAGGGGATGCCAGCTCCTCGAGGGGTGGATAGGAGGAACTGGCAAAGCCAGGGTCTGGTTGAGCTTCACAGTGTCCTAAGAGGTGGCCAAGAGTCACCTCGTAATCCCAGCTACCTGGGAGGCTGAGGTGGGAGGATCTCAAGTCTGAGGCCAGCAGGAGGAATTTAGTAAGACACTGTCTCAAAGTAAAATAAATAAATAAATAAATAAATAAAATGAAATAAAAGGGAAGGGCTGGGGATGCAGCTGAGTGGCAGAGAACTTCTCCAGCATGCACAAGACCCTGGGTTCTACACCCAGAACAATGAGCAGGAGAAGGGGAGGAAGAGAAGGAGAAGGGGACAAGGGAAAGGGAAAGAGAAGGAGAAAAGGAAAAGGGGAAGGGGGGAGGAGGAGGAAGAGGAAGAGAAAAAGAAACAGAAAGAGTAATAACAGTAGTGGTGGTGGTGGTGGTGGTGGTGGTGGTGGTAGACCAGGCTTGGAAAAATCACCCCCATTTCACAGGTGAGAAAACTGAACCTCAAGGAGATTTACATACCTTGCTTGTGGACCCCAGCCAGCCCTTGGCAGCCCAGGTCTCTTCTTTTTCTCTTGGGCCCATCAGCCCTTTTGGAGGGAGGGTGGGACTGGCTGCCAGGAATAAATAACACAGTGGTAGCTGACAATTAGGGTGCACTTATGATGTGTCAGGAGTGTAGAATCTCAACTGATCCAACAACTTTTTGGGGTAACAGTTTTATTGAGATATAATTCACATATCACACAATTCAACCATTTAAAATGTACAATCCCATGGTGTTTTGCATGTTGACAGAATTATGCAATCATCCCTACAATGAATTTTTGAACATTTTCATCATCCCCAAAAGGAACCTTATATTCTTTATCATCCTCCACTCCCCTCATCCCCCAAGCTACAGATAATCACACTATTACTTTCTCTCTCTCTAGATTTGCTTATTCTAATTATCTCACAATATATGGGGTCCCATAAGAGCTAATAACCTTTGGAATAAGATTTGATTATTAACCCATTTCCCAGGTGGCAGTAATGAGGTTTTGGCAAATAAAATCCTTACCTAGGGACCTTGTGAAGCAATGAGAGTGCCAATCCAGGTCAGTCTGATCCTTGAGCCCTGTCCATCATCAATTCCACTAGACAGTGCATCTGAGAGCAAGACTCCCCGCACCCATTCCCCATTTCCTCCCTGCTGAGCTTGAGGCCCCACCCCTGAATTTTCCCATCATACCTAGAGGTTCTGTCAGGAAAGCTCCAGGCCCGGGGACCCCATTCAGTTCTCTCATGACCCCTGCTCTATGAACTCTCAGCTGCAGCTATGCCAGTGCCTCTGGGAGGCCCTCCCTGATTGCTCACCTTTCTTGGTACCCGCATTGCTCCTATATAGGACTGAGAAAGGCCCCAGAGAAGTGTCTGGGGTGAGGCAATGAGGCCGGTCAGAGTGGGGTCTACGGCCGGATCCCCAACCCCCACACCAGGTGCTCTTCCCACTGGTCCATTTCAAATGGGAGCCCCTCTGGCTTCAAAGAAGGAAAAGAGCACCGCGCTGTGAGCTTGGGGGCCTAGCGTGAGTCCTGACTCCAGGGCGGGCCACATCACAGCCCCAAAGGGCCCTCATCTCCTCCATTCTTGCCCCATCTGAGAAAGAGGGTCATCAGGTTTATGGAAAAGGAAACAGGCTCAGCAAGGCTGATGGCCTGCCCAAGGCCACAGGCACTCAGCCAAGACCCATCTGCTGACTTCTAATGTCTCCCCTTATAGAATGGGCCAGGAACCCCAGTTTGAGGCTCCCACAAATCCCTGGACTTGCCCCTTTATCAGCTCTTATAAACTAGGCCTCTTACTTGGTGGGGTTCCCTTCTTCTTTACGGCTGTATCCCCAGTAGGGGCTGGGTCTGAAACAGGTCTCAGGAAATGTTTGTTGAACAGAAGACAGAAGGGGAAGAAGGGAGAAATAGAGTCCGGGGCCAGCTCTTTAGACTCCCCCGTCAAGAAATTTTTGACAATCTGAGATCTTATGTCTTTGGAGAATCGCACACACACAGTTCTGGGGGCTCCTGAGCCCTTGCAGCTCACCTACAGGCCCCCGGGAGTCAGAGCCACATATGCTGGCCACTGGCTGAGAACCCTGTAGCCTGTACAGGCCTTGTCCTGGGGACACAGCTGATGGGAATGCACTTCATAAAGCCCGAAGCACAGCATGCACTCCGGTTATCTCACCGCAAACTCTAGGAGGCCACGATGAGCCGCAGCCCCTGGCACTATTCCTCCGCTTTCTCTGTCCTTATGTGGCCACTGCCCCTCCCCAGGGGCTGCAGCTAGCCAGGGACGTGCTAGAATGCCCGTTAGTGCCATCTCAGGCCAGGCAAGGAGCATCAGCAACCTCAAGGGTGGCGACTGCCTGAGACCCAAATTTGGATTGTCCCCTGACTCAGCAGGACCCTGCCTTTCCTTCCTCTGCCCAATGAAAGAAAGAAAGAAATTCTCAGGATAGTTGCTGAATCTCAGGTTGTCTCTTCCTCTGCAGTCATAAAATATTCAAGAGAGCTGGGTGTGGTGGCACCTTCCTGTAACCCTCACACTCTGAGGTTGACATAAGAGGATCACAAATTTGAGCCCAGCCTGGGCAACCGAGGGACTTGGGAAGATCCTGTCTCAAAAACTGTTTTTAAAAAAGGGCTTAAAGAATATAGTCCAGTGCACAGGCCTTGAGTTTAATCTCCTGTAACACACACACACACACACACACACACACACACACACACACACACGGGACACTGGAAATTGAAATTGTCTAGTTTCTAAATTTTACTAGTATCTCTATTTGTTTTCCTGAGAAACCACTTTGAAGATATCAATATGTAATACAACAAGCATTGTTAATTTCCTACAACTTTGTTTGTAACTCTGTATTGCTTGTATTGTTCTTTTGCTATTTTGTAAATGGTTGTCTGTTTGTTAATGTTTTCCTTTTACTTTTAAATTAAAAAAATAAAATAAAATAAATTTTAATAGTACGGAAAAAAATTTTTTTACTAGTAGGGAAACTGAGGCCCCTCCAGAGGTAAAGGAAATTTTGCCAAAGCATGTCTAAGTCACAGATAATTAAGATCACACGTAGTCCTCAACCCAGGTCTGTTAAAATATGTCAAAGAATGTCAGCCTGGGGAGGAATATCTAGGTCCTTTCAGTCAAGACTCTCATTTCCCTGGAGAAACTAAGGCTCAGAAAATGATGCACCATTGTCAAACCCAAATGAACCAGAGCATCTTGAGGTCTATGAGATGACCTATCTGAGCCTCATCTTTGCAAATGATAAATAAAATAGAAACAAGAAGATATACAGTATAGGATGTCTGTCAGAAGTATATATGACCAGCTGGGTGTGATGGTGCACGCCTGTAATCCCAGCACTCAGGAGGCTGAGTCAGGAGGATCATTGTGAGTTCGAGACCGGCCTGGGCTACAAAGTGAGCTCAAGGCCAGCCTGAATGGCAGAGCGAGACCTTGTCCCAAAAAAAAAAAAAAAAAAAAAAAAAAGAAAGAAAAAAGAAGTATATATGACCAACGAATGCCCTTGAATCAGCCTCCAGCACTTAGGGGAGTGCAACTTATGGTATTTTTCATACTATCAGGCCCCTATCATTTCCCTTTTCTGCCACCCCACGTTCCAGGTCAAATTTCTCAGTACTCTGAGGACCATGCATCAGCCACACGTTAGCAGGGTGATTACAGCCTGGTTATTGCTCACTGACTCTGGGCCTCCAGTGCCATCAGTAGATCAGGGATAACACTGTTAGTACCTGCCAGACTGGTAAGTGGTGAGGTCAGAATAATGCATGTGATGGGCTTCATGTCCCTGTATTGCAGCTGAGAACACCGTACCAAGCCACATGTCCTGTCCTGGGGACACAACTGATGTGAATGCATTTCACAAAGCCTGAAGCACACAGTAAGTGCTCAATAAATGGGCCCCTTTTGTTACCTGTTACTTCCTCAGCTTTGCCCCACCTATCACCATCTCCAATTGCAGGATGCCTGGTCCATCAGGAAGTGGCTGGTCCCCACTTAAAACACTGCAAGTCCTTTAGTGTTCTAGGTGATCACACCAGCTTAGCCGACCCAGCTCTTGATTCACTGGTGCCTGCTTGAAACTGCAGATTCTGAAAATGCCAGAAAAAAAATCTGGATTTTTGCAGGTGTGGAAGTGACTTACAGAAACTGCAGAGATTGAGGACTGGGGAGGTGGTGGTTGCTGCCCATGGACATACAAACACAGGATTGATGCAAGTTGCCCTCGCTTGTGGCACAGTCTCCTGGGAAGATCCCCTTCCAGAGCAGCCATCACCTTCCCCAGCCCGCATCAGAGGCACCGCCTCTGGAGCGGAGTTCAGCAATCTTCGGAAGCCTAGCGAGCCCTGGCCGCTGGGACTTCAGGGGAAGGGCTAGTTGTGATGGAAGTGTGTCCAATAACACCGGCAGGGAGCGCTGTTGCCACTGTGATCCCACAATTCCAAGGCAACAGCAATCGGTTCTGCAGTCCTGGAATCTGGGTTTTGTCCAGAAAGTAGGTCTGATAACAAATCTTGCAAGGCTCCAGTAGGACCCGGGTTAAGTTTGTGAAAGGAAACAGAAACCACATTGACAATGAAATTATTTAACTTCTCTGTGCCTGTTTATTCATCTGTACATGGAGATAACTGCACCCTCCTTCCCTGTGGATAAGCCAACATGTGGAAGAAATACATATGGTATGAAGAAATATACACAAGGGTCGACTATCTTGGAAGCACCCGTAGATGGTGAAAAGGGGGAAAGTGAGCCACCAAGCCAGGAAACACTGTCCCAAGTCTTGGTTCCTGCCTCTGGGAGTGGCAGCTGCAGAATCAGAAAGGAAGCAGCTGTAAGCTTCAGCAAAAGCGCTGAGTCAGAGCTGTCACTGACCTCTCAGGCCCGTTTCTTTTCTTTCTTTTTGAGACAGGGTCTCACTATGTAGTTCAGGCTGGCCTCGAACTCACGGCTATTCTCCTGCCTCAGCCTCCTGCCACCAAGCCCAGCTCAGTTTCCTCATTTGTACAACTGATGGTCGCTCTTTTGGGTCCTTTCAGCCTGCTTTTCTTTAACTCTGCAGCCCAAGATGGCTTACAAGTAGATACATAACATGGAGTAGAGTTTTTGGGAAGTTCTTGCTGATTGGCATTTATTCATTCAATAAAGTATGCTAATACAGTACTCTGGAACAGACCCTAGGGCAGTGATGGCAAACCTTCTAGAGATGACTGCCCAAACTGCAACCCCAAACCCACTTATTTATCACAAAGTGACATACTACGATTAAACCTGAATACTGAGGTTTTCATTTATAAACAACTCATACATTAACATCTTTTGTCTTAAAAGAAAAACAGGTTCACCACCGCTGCCCTAGGGACATCACACTAAGAAGGCCCTTGCCTTGTGAAGCCCTCAAATAGCCTTTTAGAATACACTGTGAGCCCAGCACTTGGGAGGCTGAAGCAGAGGGATTGTTGCAAGTTCGAGACCAGCCTGGGCTACAAAGTAAGCTCAAGGCCAGCCTGAACTGCATAGCAAGACCCTGTCTCAAAATGAC